AGAAAGAGAGAGAGAGAGAGAAAGAGAGAGAGAGAGAAAGAGAGAGAGAGAGAAAGAGAGACAGAGAAAGCACTAGTCGAAGGAAACGGTCACTCTAATTCCTCACCGTTGTGGGATTGTGAGCACACACACATGCGCACCCCAGCTGTGGTACTCCAATGGTGCCGTTGACCATGTGCCATCATTCCACTTTAACCACCATGCCGCCAACTGGTTGGCCTTTTCACATTCTTGTACAAAAATTGGCCTAAGAAAAAATGCACTTAAGTTACATGATGGATACAATATATACTTTATCTTTCAAATGTTTAATTTTAATATATCTTTCACATCTCTGCATTGCATTTCCCAGAAGTTCAAAGTATTTTGATCTTCTTGTTCATGTGATTTCAAAATATGTTTTTAATTAAAAAAATTAAAGCTCCTGATACTATCGTGCAGCAATAGCACAAGTGCCCTGCAAGGCTGAAGCCATAGGGCCAACCACAGGCTCAGATCCCCAGGTCATCTTGAACATATGCTGGGTGCTTGTGTGCATGCCCCAAATCCTGATGAGCTAGATGGCCAAGAAAAGGGGATCATAGATAATAAGACCCCATTGAAGGTGCTTCTCTCTCATGTACGTGTGCACTCTCTATAATAAAATTTTTTTTTAACATAATATAGATGAAATGAAAATCAGTAACATTCTGTAGCAACTACTTCATTTCTTTGTCCCCCTCTTAATAATTTCTTTTGGTTTTGGTTTTGGTTTTTCTAATTAGAATAGTTTTCACTGCAATCAACTACGATTGATTTAGTTCATCATTATGTTCAGGATGAATAGCTATTTTCATTTAGCCATCCCAACCATAGGTTCAAATTGCTTCTTTTCACATCCTCATCCTATCAGGTAGCCACCACTTGATCTTTCTTTTTTCTTCTGAGAACTCATAAACATTCATTACCATTGCCAGTGTTTAATATGACAGACGATGTCTAATTTTGGATAATAATCTATTCCAAAAATTATTCCATCGGAGAAGAAAATTCCTTTTACTCTCCAACAGATATTATTTTTTCAGTTTTCATATAATTTGGGGGCATGTTGAGGAAGGTGCCGGCTGAAATGCAGGACATTGTCATCCCAGGCCATGTCCTTCTCACACTGTGGTCTCATCATATTAGTCATACAGAGCCCAGGCCCCTCTGAACTATCTAATTTTCATTATTCTTTCTCCTAGTCTTACCTGTATTCTTCTCTTCTTCATCCTGAAACTATCTTTGCCATGCTTGGGATGGGAAAGACTTCTTTAATATATAAAGCTTTTCACCAAATTGTTTTTTTCCTCTCTAAGGTTTCTGATATATTTTCTGGAGTGGGTCATTATTATTTTGGGCTCCTTGTTTTTACTATTCAGTGGGCTAGTGAACATGGAGGATGCAGCTGAGTGACACTATCTGGGTTCGATGTAGGGCCAGAGAGGATAAACAAATGCTTGGGACAAATGCAATATAAAGCAATACTGCCAAGACTCAGTTTATAGTCACATTATATTATCCTGATCATATTGTCCTAAATGTATGGATACAATACTTGTCATGAATTGCCACATAGCAAATTACTATAAACTTAGATGGTAAATACTTGTTCAGTATCCCACAGTTGTATGCATCAGTAATCTGAACATGGCTTTGTAGAATTATTTTCTCAGGGTATCACCCAGGCGTGAATCAAGGTCTTGGTTAGGCTGCCTTCTCTTAGGAAACATTCCTTTCTCTGGCTCATTTGAGTTGTTGATATAATTTATTTCCTTATAGAATTGAGAACCCCAGCTCCCAGAGACTACCCCTCTCCTCAAGTAGAACACTATGGTTGCTCATTTCTTCAAGGCCAGAGGACAGCATCTCTGACTTCTGCTCTCTATAGTTTCAAGAGTATGTTTTCAGTGTTCACCTGATCAGGTCAGGACCACCTACAACAATGTCTCTCTCTCTCTCTCTTTTAGGTTTTTGCCATATGTTGTGTGTGCTCACTGGTGAAAGACAGAGAGAGATGGAAGAAGAGAGAGAATACCCCCTTCCCCCTGAAGGGGATAACCATGCGGCAATCCCTTCTCCTCCATTCTTCTCTTGAGATTCTGGGCATGCTCTACACATGTGCCCAGTGTGAATTTCAAGCCATTGGGTCTGGGGCTCGAACCGTGGTTGGCCATGTGGGAGTCCAGCATCTTAACTACTATGCCAACAATCTCTCTTTTGATTAAGTTAATGTAGATTGACTTGGAGCCTTAATTTCATATGAAGAATAGTCATTTCCCCTTTGTCATTTAATGTAATCTAAGTAACATCTAATCATATTCACTATTTTGGCTCAAATTCAACAGAAAGGGATTACAGAGTTATGCAACATGGAATTGGAATTTGAGGGTGGGGGGCATCTTAAGGTTCTGTCCACCATATCAACATACTCCTAAAAAAGTATGTTACAACTAAAAAGCTGGGCATGGTGGCATACACCTGTAATTCCAGTTACTTGTGAGGCTGAGACGGGAGGATCTTGAACTCAGAATTAATCCAGGAAACA